AAAATCTTGTGGAAGTAAATGTTGAGAACAAAAAAATAAATAAAAATTACCATTAAAAAAAGTAGAAGAAGACTGGAAAAGTAGGAAGGGAGAAGCTTTAGAAAGGCTTTAAAGCTAGCTTAGTGTGCATTTGATACTGGACATAATAGGAAATCACTGATTTTATGGGATGAGGAGGGAGACATGTGGTCAGGCTTGCTCTTTAGCAAGAGGTGAGAACTGGACACATGTCTGATTCCATGGCCGTCCTACTTTTCTCTTAGGAATGTCATTAAAGAGAATCAGGTGAAGATATCCCCCTGTACAGACCTGAGGATCTGCAGGAAACAGGTCCAAAGAGTCATTAGAGATACCTTCTCCTTATTCCATGTAATACAAAGATCAAGGAGATACTTGAGAGGTCCATGCACTATCAGATCCAGAGAGACATGAGCAGAATCACAGGGAGATAGATTCAGATCTTATCCACCTCAGCAGGCATTTTCAAAGATACCTAGGCTCTGTATGGCCAGTGTCTGCCTACATAGAAAATTGCACTGAATGTTCCAGTCTTTCAGTAAATAGATTAGGATGATCCAGGCGCTTTCTAAGTTCCAATTTGGCTCTGATGTTCCAAGATAAAGGACCTGCTCCTCACACTCTCCCTTCTTCCTTATGTCACATCATTAACAGCATGTTCTTCCTCATTCTCCTTACCTTCTTCCCTTCCCCCTCATCCTCCACCACCTTCTATCCCTAGCAGCCCATGAAGCAGAGTATCTCCCTCAAAGGAGATGTAGAAGTTCCAAGATAGTTGTCCATCCCTCAAAGTAGACACAATCCCCTACCTTTTGGGATTCCTATTTGTAGGGTACTTTGTCCCACTGGCCTAGCATTTCACTCACTGGTCATGCTTCTCAGCTAATTCCCTTCTTCAGTTCACAAAACTGTCACTGGCTCATTGATCTAAGGCTTTAGATGCTCGTAGTCTGCTGACTCCTATGTGGAGAAAGGACAAACACTGGAGCTACCAGGAAGCTGAAAGAAAATGGGTATGTGGCATGCAAAGGAGGAAATAGGGCATGCAAGAGGCAGGGAAGATGTCAGGAGAAAAGATTTTCATTAAGAGAAGGCTGCCCTGTACCAGGGTCCCTGTAGAATAGGGATTATAGGAGAGTAGGGGCTTGGGAAAAAGTTCTAGGGCTTCAAGAGTACTGGGGTGAAGAAAGGAGGATTGGAAAACTGGGCCAAGAAGCTGAGACCATGGGCCCAAGGCAGTCTAAGTCAGTAAGCATTACAGGAAGTGGGAGATGATTAGAATCAGGGGAAGACAGAGAGATAGCCCCCTAACTGGAGGTGACATTTCACCTGAGGACTTGTGCTAGGATTGGCCAGTGATGCCCACATGGGAAATCATGACCTCAGACTCCAGTTGTGCCCAGATCATCTCACAGGCAGTCCTGGGAAGAGAGAGCAGAGCAGCTTCTCAGGTCATCAACTCTGGAGGTCTCTCTTCTCTTCCAGGAAGGTGTGATCCTGCGCTTTGAAGCATGTTGGAGGGAAGGCATGGGAATCGTTTGCTACACTCAGTCTTTTCTTTCCTCTCCACATATGGGTTTCTTCTTCATCCTCCTGATCCAGTGGGTTCATCTCCCAGGACTGGAGGTGTGAGAATTAGAGACTCAAAGGCTTTACCTCTATCTGCCATTCCCCTATTCTCATGGGATCCCCACTTTCTTTTCAGGCGCCTTCCTGGACTCCACTCAATCAGCAGGTTGGTTCTTCAGGGAAATTCTTAAGGCAACCTGAGATAGTCAACAAGCCCCTTGTACTTCAGTGCTAGACTGTCCCCTCTCACTCCCTTTGGGTGTCTACTGCATCTGGCTGTCCTTCCAGGACTGCTGGTTTCCCAGGCCCTCAGGTCCTTGCAGGGTGTGAGGTACAACCACCATTTTCACACTGCTGGTCTAAAGCATGAAGTTCTGAACCTGGGGGCCCCAAACTTATTTTTTAAAACAATATTTTAATAACCGTACTTCAGCATACGTGGTTTGATTTGTAAACCTACATCTTTTATTTTATTCATTTAAAAACACCATTTTGAAAAGAGGTCCCATAGCATCACCAGACTGCCCAAGAAGGCCTTATCTCAAGGAAAGTTCAGGACCTCTAGTCTAGGTGATGGCTAAGTTCCCTAACATCTCTAAATACTATTACACCTACCAAAAAAAAAAAATCACAAAGTCCCTTAAGGCTCTCATTCAATCAATAAGCATTTATTTGTGTTGGTCACTGCTCTGGAGAAACAAATGCAAAGAAAGGAGCACCTTCTATCAAGGCATTTACAATGTACACAGAGGATTCAATCCAGCCACAGATAATTGATCCAAGACAAAGACAAGGTGATATGATTTGAGGGGAGAGAAGAGACCTCCAATTGGGAAAATTAGGAAAGGTCTCTTGAAGTAGATGACTCAGGAGCTGAGCTTTGAAGGGAAGGTCAGAGTTCTGAGGAGTTGAGGACAAAAGATCTTTTGAGGAGCAGGGAACCCTGTGGAAAAGGCTGAAACAGGGACTGGGGCATCACAAATGGGGAAACAGCCTAGGGGCCAATTTGACGGAAGAGTCAAGTGGCTGATGGGGATTATGTGGACTGAGCCTGGGGACAACAACAGGAGATACATTTGAGAGAGTTTGGAAGGTTCAGAAAGAATACACTGTGCTTCATCCTCCAGGAAATGGGGAGCCACTGACATTCTCTGTTGGGCGAGTGATGCAGTCCCACCAAGGCTTTAGAAATATCTACTTGAGAGTTGTATGGAAGATGGGTTGGAGAGAGAGACAGAGAGAGAGAGAGAGAGACAGAGAGAGAGACAGAGAGACAGACAGAGACAGAGACAGAGAGAGAAAGGCAGAGAGACAGAAAGAGACTCACAGAGACAGAGAGAGACAGACAGACAGACAGAGAGACAGACAGACAGAGAGACTAGACACGGGGCTCCCTGTGAGGAGGCCATTTGAATAGTCCAAGAGAGAGATGAGGAGGAAGTCGACTCAGGTAGTCGAGAAGAGGAGCCAGCTGTTTGAGATGGTGAGGAGATAAATCAGCAAAGCTTGACAGCTGGTGGAGAAGGTGAAGAAAAGTGAGTGAATAATCAAGGATGAGCTCTACTTTGTAAGCCTGGGTAACCAGAACAATGAAAGGGCCTGTAACAGAAAAAGGAAGGCAGAAGGATGGGTGGATTTAGAGCAAAATAATGATAATAAATAGCTAACATTTATATAGTGCCTACTGCGTGCCAGCTACTATGCTCAGTGCTTTATAAATATCATCTCCTTTGATCCTCAAAACAACCCTAGGAGGTAAGTGCTATTGTGTTATTCATCATTTCAGTCAGGTCCAGCTCTTTGTGACTCCACATGGGATTTTCTCAGCAAAGATACTGGAGGGGTTTGCCATTTCCTTCTCCAGCTCATTTTACAGATGGGGAAACTGAGGCAAACAGGGTTGTGACTTGCCCAGGATCACACAGCTAGTAAGAGTCTGAGGTCAGATTTGAACTCATGTCCTCCTGACTCCAGGCCCAGCACTCTGTACACCATGGCACCAATTGCCTATTTTGAATTCCTAGAAGTTTTGTTATGCCTAGGTTCACTTTGAAACATTTATAGGATATTCAAGTGATGCTGTCCGTCAAGGTAAAAAAAAAAAGAGAGAGAGAGAGAGAGCAGGACACTAAATAGAGGCCAGTTTTTCCAGGAGTTTGGCTCAGAAAGAGTGTCCTTTCTCCCTTCTTTCTCTGGAGGATGTGTGGTGTCTCCAGGCTAGAAGGCTCTAAAATTTGCTTTATTCCCCCCCAGGATTTCTTCTATAGTTCTAAAGGGAACCATGATGGAGGATCATAGGGACTGTTGGTTTTCTTTAAATTCTCCCCACCCCTCCCAACTACAATTTTTCCTTCTCCTTTGGATTGAGGCCTCACCTTTGGGGAGGAAGTGATGGGTATGAGAGTTCATTGCCAGGAATTTGCTGATGATATTTTCTAACGGTAAATGAACTTTTCTGAGTCTTGAAAACCTTCATTCTACCATACTATAGTAGCACCCTCACTCCATATTACTCCTGTCTTTTATGGGAAAGCTTACCCTGGGAGCACAAGGCTGTGGTGAGCCTCCCGCAGAGGATAGGAAGGGAGCCCTTCAGGG